GTTCCTTCATGAATCAACTCAAGCGCATCCCAGGCTTCTTTTGCTGACTTGCACCCTTGAATTTGTTTAAACTCATCCTTGTCAACTGTATTGAAAATGATAGTTATGGCTTTTGAGTTCAGTGCTGATGCTCGCTTTTCTGAGGGTGTCCACTCAGATCTGGGTTTCAGAACCTCTTTTCCATCCTTCACATCGATTGGGGCACGCCAACCTTCTTCTACCGAACTCCAAGCATCTTCATTAATCTCTTTGATGAGATTCATAGTTTTCACTTTCCAAAAACTATAATTCTCGGAATCGAGAATTGTGGATCTTCCCAGAGACTGAAACTCTTTGAGTGAGTCCATATTGACTCTTCAACACGTACACTGATATGAGAGGCTCTTTCGCCTACGATCAGTGACCAGCTCTGATACCAATTGAAAAAGTTGAACCCTCAAAGAGTAATGCGGAAAACTAATCAGTTCTATTCACTTGAGAAAGATAGTCAAGTACAACTCACTTTTTGTTGTAAGAATCGTACTTACTACACACACCCGAAACTCCCCCTGAGTTTCTTCCCCTCTCACAATGAATTCTACTGATCAAAAAACCTCACCACATAAATCACTCACCAGAGAGAAGAGATTTGCCCAATCGGTCTCCCTCTCAGACTCGCACTCACCAGATAATGAGAACACACTCACTTAACAAAATAGACTTAGAAATTATGCTCCTTCTCTCTACGCCGATCTGCAACTTGTGTCTTCTTTATATAGGCTCCTCCCTTAGCCTCAGATCTCCACGAATTGATTTGATAGACTTCTCCTTGATTCTTGTTGGTTTCGTGTCTATCTTCAAGATCTCATCTTTATCTCTTCAGCTTGACTCTATCTCTTCAGCTTTGACTTCATCTGAATCTTGTCAGTTGCATCTCAGATATCTTCGAGTTTGATCTTTGCCGAATCTTTCTCCTGAAATCTCTCAAAGTTTGTTGGACCTGCAACAAACTTTCAACAACCCAAGATACGTGCAAATATATGCACTAACAGTTTCAATCTTTCCGGGATGGGTTGCAGCGCCGGTTTGGTATCCGTAGATTTAGCTCGAGATTTGCTCCAAGTTCATCCGAATTCCAACGCCGTGATCGTTAGCACAGAGATCATAACCCCGAATTACTACAAAGGCAACGACCGGGCGATGCTTCTCCCGAACTGTCTCTTCCGGATGGGCGCCGCCGCCATTCTCCTCTCTAACCGCCGCACGGACAGGTGGAGAGCAAAGTACAGACTCTGTCACGTGGTCCGCACGCACCGGGGAGCGGACGACAAGTCTTACTGCTGCGTGTATGAGAAAGAGGACAAGGACGGGAAAGTGGGTATCAACTTGTCAAAAGACCTCATGGCCATTGCCGGTGAAGCCTTGAAGTCTAACATCACCACTCTAGGTATATATTTATTCAATCGGTTTCCTTGGAATTTACAATCAATTTAAATAGTAGGAGTGGGTGAAAAAACGGGTCAGGCTTTGTTTATTTTGGGTACAAAATTTATTTCGGTTCAATTGGATAACCAAGTTCCTCACAGAACTAAAGGAGTTAGATTTGGTTTAATTCGGTTTTGTTTATCTCAATTGCGTCTATATGTCGTGTTAATACCAATACTAAAAATTGAATTAAGTTCATCTTGGGTCCAAATTATCACAACTCATCGTATTAGAATGAATCTGAAATAAATTTGATTTAGATATGATCTCATTTAATAGGAGAACAAAAAATTCTCACAACATTAAGGTTTGGTTTAATATGATTTGGTTAAGTTTGGTTCCATATTAATACCAATAAAAAAAATAAATCAAGTTAAAACCAATCTAAGTTAATCTAAGTTCTGTTGAAATCCAAATTATAACAGTCTAGAATGAAGTAAAATAACACCAAATTTGATTTAGACGATCCAATTTAGAAAGGATAACCAAGTATCTCATAAGATTAAAGGTGTTGAGTTCAGTTTAGTTTGGTCTGATTGAGTTCAGTTTGATTTAGTTTGGATTTGATTTGGTTAGACTAACGTGGACAGGTCCTCTGGTTCTGCCGGCATCGGAGCAGATCCTTTTCCTATTATCCCTAATCAGTCGGAAAATATTCAATCCGAAATGGAAACCTTACATTCCGGACTTCAAGCTCGCCTTCGAGCACTTCTGCATCCATGCCGGAGGCAGAGCTGTCATTGACGAGCTTCAAAAGAATCTTCAGCTCTCTTCGGAACACGTCGAGGCCTCAAGAATGACACTTCACCGATTCGGAAACACTTCTTCCTCTTCCCTTTGGTACGAACTCAGCTATATCGAGGCTAAGGGTCGGATGAGACACGACGATCGCGTTTGGCAAATCGCGTTTGGTAGCGGTTTCAAGTGTAATTCTGCGGTCTGGAAATGTAACCGTACGATCAAAGGGCTTACGGATGGTCCGTGGACCGACTGCATCGACCGTTACCCCGTCTATATTCCTGAAATTGTTAAGCTCTGAAAGAATAATCTCAACGGTTTGATCCGGTTTAGATTTAACCGTATTTGGTTTATTTACTTGGGATCTGAAATTCCGGTAAGAGACCGGTATTTGAAATCCTCGTGCAGCAGTAATAATTTGGATGTATCAATAATACACTTTTTATACCTTTCTTTTTTTTAATAATTTTTTAATCGGGGATATTCGATCTGCCATTTCATGTACTTAATACGAACAAAACATAATTTTACTCTGTGTCGGATTTGGAAAACAAATGTTTCGTACTATGTAACTATTTTTAGTAATCGAAACTCTCCCGCATCTCTCTTACTTTACCAAAATTGCCCTAACCTCCATATCTAAACTCTTTCCGGCCAGCCATGTGTTGGGATAATGACTATGAGATTTGGCGATGCTAAAGAATAATCCTACGTGGAAGGTTGTTTACAAATCGGGTAAAGTTTGTTGATAACAAACTAACAGAGAATCTCAGAGTTGTTACCTGCTAAATCTGCTATAAAAGGTATGAGAAATCAGAAATGGTTTTGAAACGAGAGAATACACGTCAGTTCAGCACAGAGAGAACGCAGAGTATTCTTCTTCTCGTTTTCTTCTGTGGAGGCTGGCTAAGCTGCAAAAGAAATGGAGGAAGAGATCAGCTTCGATGCATAAGAATGGCAAGTTCTGTGATCGGAAAGGAGGAAAACTCAAGGGAAAGAGCTAAGTTTCTAATCCCGATTCTGTAAGAGCTAAGTTTCTAATCCCTGATTCTGTGTATGCTTGTATAATGAGAGAGAATGATATATTCCTCTGTTGTAATGGTGCAAGAACGTAATAGTGGATTAACCACACTGGGAATCTGAACTCGTTAAATCTGTGTTCTAGAGTGTGTGTGCGTGTGTTCGTATACTCATCTCTGTATTTAATCGGAACCTGAAATCTAATCCCAAAGAAAAACCCTAAAATCTGGAAGAATCTAATCAAAGATTAGGAAGAAAGAAAACTTATCTTTGTGTGTCGAAGTTCGGCTTCTGCAGTTATCTTTCTTGATGAACAGGTCGCTCACGTGTCGAAGGAAGGAGATCGGCTCAGGCTGGTTCGGCTCATCGCTGGAAGAACCGAAGACTCGTTGAGCTGCTTTGTCTTAGACTCGTGCTGATGACATCGTCCTTCGCCGGTGGTATCGTGAGGAAGATGATAACTGTGACATGAAGAAGAAGACGCATAAAGAAGAAGAGACAGAGAGAGAGGAATTCGCTTGGAGGAGGCAAGAAGAAGCTTCTGGTGAAATGTTCTCGGACGTAACGAAGAGTAAAGGGATTAAGGTTAAGTTGCGTCTTGGGCTTGGGCTTGGAAAAGAAAAGAAGATTGGGCATGATCCACTAGACAGTGGCCGGCCAAACCTCAGAAATGCCGCCTCGTCTCCGCTCCTCCTCTGCTCCACCCTCTCCTAGGATCTTGGGGCTTCCACCGCTAAAAAACCAAAAAACTCTTCCTTCGGCGAAGTCTCCGTCTCATGGAACTTCGATTAAACCCCCACCTTCTTCTTCTTCATCCCCTAAATCTCTGCTCCTTTCGCCGTCGGAACTTCCTGCCCATGGATCCCCGACCAAGCCCTCCATCTCTTCCTCCCCTGCTAAAGCTTCGGAAGCGGTTCTCTGTGAACTCTCTTTTCCGCCTCTTACCTCAAATGGCGGCATCACCACTTCTCACAATCTTCCTATCGTGACAGGAGTTGAGCACTCCCATTCTCCTAGAAACATGAAGACCCAGGCAGCTACCGCTCAGAACCCCTCTACCAGCTGGAGCAAGAAAGTCCAAAGCTCCATCCGATTATTACAGTTCTATATCCGAGCTGGAATGCGAGGGAATGAGCTGAAATGCGAGGGAATGAGCTGAAATGTGAGGGAATTAAATTAATTTTGAAAGTTTGTTTTACGATTGTTGGGCCTTAAGGCTTGTTGGCGGAAGAAAGTGAACCTTCCCCTTGGGAAGGAGGTTTCGGTTTTAACCGAAACACAACGTTTTGAGCAGCGGGTTAATGAAACCCTATGGAGTTCCGTCACTTCGACGAGGGACGCGACACGGTGCTCGAGGAGAAACTTGAGAGAGCGAAAGTGGCCCATGTAGACTCGGTGTCGTAGGACTGGTTAGGACTTTGTTGGGGGTCATGTAGACTCGGTGTTATAGGTCTGATTAGACGTAATCAGCTAGTCTGATTAGCCTTAAGTTAGGTCTGGTTAGACGTAATCAGGTCTTAAGGCGAGGAAGGTATAGGTTGGTAAGGGTCTCTTGTCTTTCTTTCTTGTGGTTTTCTCGGTGAGCCTCCGGTCTTGGTGTGGAGGCCGCCGTGTTTCTCCTCTCGGTTGTTTTCCGTTCTACTTCTAGTGGATTCGCCGGCGTCGTTCCGGCCGAGACATAGGCCCGAGGAAACTCGGGAACCGAACTCGTAAAAATCCGTTG